ATATATATATATATATATATATATATGTAAGGTGTGTAATAACCTGATTTTCATGATACGATGAAATTCCACAGAAATCCAGGTATCAACATCCAATCAGGCAGGTGGCCAGAAAATTTGATGAATCCATTGATCAACTGCATCATTGCTCTAGACACTTGACTAACACCTCAACAGACTGTATTTTTCCCAGACTGTATGCTTGCGTATTTCTATATAAAACGAGGAAGAAAATCAAGCATAACTTAGCAAACTAGAGATATCAGAGCAAAAGTCTGTTCTTTGAAATTTTGCGGTATAGTTTAAAGAAATTCTGGCGTAACAATAAGCTTATCCGATCTGCAGCATATGGTATTTCAAGACAAGGGGTAGAGAATGATTTATTTTTGAAGTTAAGCCAGCTACCGGACTGTTCTTGGAAAATATAAGAAATTTCAGCGAACCAGTGAGCTTTACACAAACAGGTGTATGGAAAGAGAAATCTGTAATTTAACAAACTAGAAGTTAGCAGTATATTTTAAATGGAGTGAAAAGGGGAACAAAGGAATATAAGTCAATTAGGGGGATGTTGCCCTAACAAGGCACGACTGCATCAAGGTTGATTAACAAGCAGGAATTTCTCCTGTCCCAGAAGAAAAATGTCTTAGGTGTCCCTCCAGCCTGAGCGGGTGAAGGCTAATGAAGAACAGGATAAATTTCCACTGGAAACCTGGAAGGCTTCCTTACACACCATAACTGCACTAAATAGCTCTGACATGGGGTCACATTTCTCAGTGTAGTCAGATCTTGGGATTCAATAGTATGAATTATAATGGCTGATCTGTCTCCTCTGTAGATTAATGTCATTATTTATGGATGACTAATGTAAGCAGAAAGGAAAAACATGTTTGGAGCCAGCGCACACCTGGACTGTTGCAAGAAAAGTGCAGATTAACCAAGTGTGATTTAATGAACAAAGTGACTTTACAGACAATTTTCTTGAAAAATAATCTCTATTTGCACAGAAGAGCATTGACCCAGTTGTCATACCCAGATGGCAGTGAAACCCCAAATCATAGCCAGGCTGCTTAATGCAGCTTATAGTGTGTAAAATCGAAGTCTTATGGGGAGTTGGCTAAACAGTTCAGCTCCAGTAATAATCAAATGTTTCAGACCAGATGCCTTTCCATAAACACTGACGATAGCACTGCTGATCCATAGTTTCACACTGAATCCCATGCATTTTGTAGAAACACATATTTCCTAATC